TATGTATGTGATTACTGTTGCTGGAAAGTGCTCTTCTTTCCTCTTGTGGTACATCCTGAAACAAAATGTTTAAAAAAATAGTTGTCAAGTGTTTTTAGAACAATCTTCTTGGTAGCAACTGAAAAAAATCACAGAAAATAGAGGGCACTTATAAAAAAATAATCTTATAATTTATTATCCTTCCCTGATTAACTTTCAACTTATTGTGAACCAAAAAGAGGCAAAATTATGCTCTGGGGATAATTTTGAAACCCATATTAAATACATGGTACTCAAAATACAGGTGAAATCTTTTGTAAAGTGTACGCACTCAGATAAATAAATAACATAAGTCTGTAAAGAACTGCAAATGCCTGTAGGTCACCTTAAGGTCTTCTATTCCAGCCCCAAGAAGTTCATTCTTTAGCAGACATTGATAAGCCATTCCCTCTGAAACATACAGATTTGAATATGCGACTGTGAATAATTATATGAATATCATATACATGTATGGGGACCACAGATTAAGAAATGAATATAAAATGATCTTTGCAGCAACAAACACTACTCAAGCAGGAATGAAACTAAGGCCTGAAAAAAATTCAGGCCTGCACAGGATTTGAACTCATGACCTCTGTGATACCAGTGTAATGCTGTACCAAATGAGCTAACAAGCCAACTGGGAGCTGGTCATTATGTTGGTTTGTGATAAATCCATGAAGAGATAAATAAATGACTGTGAATATACAAAAATCAAATTTGTGAACTGTGAATTAAGAAATGAATATGAAAGCCATCTCCACAGTGAAAAACACTACTTATGAAATAGTGAAAATAAGGCCTCACTGCTTCTTAAGTAGTGTTCATTACTGGGATACACCAAAAGACTTGCCTGAGTCTGATGGATTCATTTCTATTACATATAAATTATATAAAAGAATTCATACCTTTGGAATCCACACTGGCATCTCTGAAAGAGAGAAAATTTTTTATCATTTTATTTTGTAGTTTTGATTGAACAAGAGGTATAATGTATCACTTAATGTGTTTGAAAACATCAGGATAAGAACAAAGTAAGCAAAAGCTGCATAATTTCAACCTGAATCAAATTTTCTTCCCAAAGAATATTCCTGCAAAAATTGACCACCCATGGAATATAAAGCTTACCTTGTGACTGCACTGTTCTTTCCTGGATCACTATTTTCCTGAGAAGATTTTGAACAAATGAACAATCTTCAACACTATTACCAACACTCATCTTAATTTAGTTTTTAATACATGTAGCTATTTTTTCAAGTGACCATAGAACAAAGTTTGAGGGAGAAACTGAAACAGCTCAATTTCATACAATAAGGGTCTTCAGTCCAGTAAGGGAATAAAGTTTGCACTGTTTTTGATTCTAAGAGCTTTTCTTAGCTACAAGTTATAAAATAAGGTAACTCACTCCCAAGACACATTAGTAATTTTCCTTACTGTCTGCCATATAATCCATATGATGTTAGTTCTGAGAATTTTGTGTTGAATCAACCTACGATCCCCCAGTTGATATTTTTCTTAATTCTTGTCACCTGTCAGCTTGATATCATATTGATATTGAATAGAAGAATTGTCTTGGTCACTCATGAGAGTGAAAAGGTTATTATACCTTTTACATGTACATGTATATGAGGTTGTACAGATCCAAGCAACAACAGTATACTTACTTGTATCAAATCAAAATTAAGCTCAAGAGCTGGACTACTGCGGCTTGGTATAAACCTTGCAAAAGGAAAGCAAGTTGGAAACTTTTTAAAGAAAGAATGCATTCATATTGAATGTTTAAGTTTGAAAGAAATGTTTCAAATGTGAATTGAAAGTATAGTGACTATTCCATGACACTTTCTTTACCTGTCTCCATACTTTTCTCTGCTAGGAGAGCTCAATGGGCTTAGATAAGGTGAACTGAAATGCCTTATTCCACTCGAACATGGCTGTAAAAACAAAGCAAAGAAAATGGCAAAGTAATCAGACAAAGTAATTCCTCCAATATGCTAAAATTACATGGAAGTACTTACTTATGTCATAAGCTCAAAATAATGGACAGCAGGTTTCCCTGAGTGTGAGCAGAACCAGTCAAGTTTTTTTGTTTCGACATTATACCCTTTATTTTTCTCTTCAGTTCTACCTTTTTGAGTTCTCTCTTTTTGTTGTTCTATATCACTAATAAATGTAACAGGTTCTCACATAAGAAGGAAGCCCAAATAAATTACTATTTCATTCAACCTTTGCTCTTAAATGAGGAAGGAACTTTTCAAGGTGATAACAACTGGAAGAAGCAGGGATAAGAGGGAATGAAAAATGAATGAAAAAAATGAGGAAAATCTGCTTTTACAGGGAAATTTATTTCTATCAGTAGAGATTACAATAAAATAAGTAATACAGGAATATCCCTATGCTGTAATTGTTAATGTGGTAAAAACATATCACCTTGTTTACAATGCCATTCCACAACATTTTCTGTTGTATCAAGACATGTTCTCTTAAAAATTTACCAAACCCTACTTGTAAATGTGCAACATCTTCTGTGTTGAAACTTTAGCAAACCTACTGATGCTAAAACCATCTAAGCAAGGAACACAAGTTTAATACTGAAGCCTCGTTCATACTTACAGAATTAGCAAGAGGACTCCGTCCATTAGGTTGACGTAGAAGTCTCCTTTCATATTCTGGGTCCATTTTCAGCTGTTTTGGATGAGTACACGCGCTTTGAAATTCTATGGTTGTCTTCAGTTTATAGAAGTGCTTGGCCTTCTACGAAAATCGATCGTTCTCTCTTTGCAAGTTGTGCATAAAGACTGCAAATACACATTGAAAGTTGGACGATTAACTCTGAAGTCACTTGTTCCAGCCCCAGATAGCTAGGATGTACGTTAGAAGTCAATGCCGTTTTACTTGCTTCACAGAATGTAGTACTCAAAAGTTTTAAACCAAGCTTTCACTTGATTCAATGCGGATGAATCAATGACAAAAATGCCCCTGTTTTCAAAACAAGGCTGGTGAAGATGAGAAATTCAGCAAGGTAATTTTATAGACAAATTATGAAATGAAGAATTCGAAGTTAAAAAGTCTTTCAGCAGCAGCACAATGTATTGTCTGCTTCTAGATTTCAAAATGCGTAGACGAAACTACATCCAAAGCAACATTGTCTCCATTACTCTCTCACTTCAAAGTGAACTCATGGAATTTCGAAGGAAACGAAATGTTATTTCACTTCACATCTTCCAGCAGAGTAAACCCGGCATTTCGGTCAAACCACGCGCTTTCCTTTGTCCAGTGCTTGCTTCTCTCTGTATAAAGGAACCACTGGTTTTAAAACGGAGTGGAATTTAGGCAGATAGCCAAACGTGTGAGAAATATATGGCCACACGTGTATTCTTTTGAAATATAAATTTCAAAAAGTAAACGGCTGATGTGATGTTGTTACTTTGGCTCTTCAGATAACATCCGGGATGCTGCAAAACAAAGGGCGATGGAGATCTGGAAACTATATCGTGCCAGTCTACGCGCTAAATTCAACATGGCGGAATTACATTGTATCAGCAGTTTTCCCTAAACAACACTTTAACCTTTCATATGGAAGGTTATTGACGAAAGAATAAAAAATGTTTCACAAGCCTTTTCGAGTAAAATCCAATACTGCGATTCGCGGGTCCGATCGGTGAGTAACATCTCATGAACCAATACAAAATAGATTTTATTAACTATGTTGCACTGCCATTCAAAGGTAGGTCCGAAATTAGATGAAATTTATCTAATATCATGAAAAGAAAAATAAATTATGTAGAATTATTATGCTACCTTGGCCTTTAAAAAATTCAGAGAATCAGAGAAGCCTTTTTAAACGAAAAGCTGTGATCCTGTCTAAAATTTTCGTAATGAGTTCCCATGAGGAATCGCACCTCAGACAGAGGTGCGATTCCTCGTGGGGACTCAGAATTTTTTCTCTGTCCCACGCTCATGACAAGATAAAAACCTCTTTCTCTAAATTCAGTTTATTGCTTAAATTATACCTCACAACCCCTAAGAATGCTTCACATCTAATTTCTCCTCATAATGCCATCCCTGAATCAAACATAAAGATCAGAACAAAGGAAATGCTCACCGATCAAAAAGGCTTTTGATTGATAAACAAATTCTCCTTGTCTGCACCATAGGAAATATATAGAAAACAGTGTAGAGAATATACACTCTAAAGTTAAGGTGTAAAGGTTTATGTTGTTACTGTGTATTAACTTACAGGCGGAAACTGAGATCAGATGTTAGCAATGCTTTTCCCAATTTATCACAAGACAAAATCACTGAAATTATTCCAAACAAAGAGGAAATTTCAGTGATGCGTCTTATGACACATTCTGGACAGAATGTTACAGTTTTTTGTCTCAGTGGGGAACCGATATTCTTTGAAGTTGAAAAGAAAGTTTTCCCAACAGGTAAGTATGGTATATATAGTAATCTCAACTAAGATATCTCACTGACAGTAAATGCAATATTTCCTTTTTATGTTTATGTCTGTCTACTATTCACTTTGATGAAGGGCTAATTCTCGAAACATCACCTTTACCTCACATGAGTGACCAAGACAGAATTTCTCCTTACAATATCAATAATAAGTGATGAGAATAAAGAAAAATATCAATTTGGGAATAATTAATTGATCCACAACTAAATTCTCTGGATTAACATTATGAGAATTGTATGATTGACAGTAATGAGAATTACAAATTTGATCAGGGAGTTAAAGGGTCAAGAGTGGCCAATTTACATCATCAACTCAGTAGATGAGACCAAATTATCTTGTAATACCCTTCACCAAATTTGCACCACAGTTTCCTTAGAATCTTCACCCCCTTTATTCATTTGTCTTTGTCACATTTGTGCGTGGAGCTGAATTTATTTCAATCATGTTTTAGTTTATACTCTGTGGAAATTTCCTGACCTGCTTCTTAGCTTCAAAACATGGCCCCCTGTTTTTGAAAAACTCCAGGGTGGAGCAGGTAAGTTTGCTCCTTAGCAAAGAGTAGAAAATTCAGAGGACTTCCCTTGTAGGGATGGGGAGATTTAGTGGCTTTAGGGATTGGCAGTCTGGGGTTCAAGCCCTGGCCAAGTCATCGTGTTCTGTTCTTGGGCATCAAACTGTTCTTTCACTGAGCTTATCTCTGCAGAATGAAATTTAAGGGACACCTGAATTTTGTAAACTTGACACTCATTTAACTTATTGACAGACTTTATTGCCTGATTTAAGATTATAGGAAAATGCTTAGGACTGAATTATAGGTCAGAAAAAATCATATCTTTGATATATATATATATAAATGTACATTTGATAATGGTGTGAAACCTGTAAATCTAGTAAAAATCAATGACCTCATGTTCAAGCAAAACCTAGTGACAAAATTATATGTAATGCAACTGATCATGAAATGATTTTACACTGACAACATCCTATGGAATAAGAATGCACAAGGATCCCATAAAAAATATAAAGATTCTTTGAGCTTTTTTATTTGTTTATGTTCTTAAAATTCCAATTTGTTCCTTCTTCCTAGACCTAATGCTTCCTGGTGTCATCCTGCCCTCCGAGGGACTCACAGCTGTGGGAAGATTTGAGAGAGGTACACTTTGCAGTGTTTGTCTCAAGGGTAACAGGTAGAGTTGTCCTTCTTATTTTGCAACCAAATGAAATATTTGAGACTGAGTAGCTAAGAGTGATAAACATCTGATTTCTCCTAATGGTATCACATCCTGAATCAAACATTAAGGTTATTAGAATAAAGGAAATGATTGCAAACTCAAGAAACTCTTAATTGGTAAAAAAATTCTCCATATCAGTACCATAGGAAATGTATAAAGAACAGTATGGAGAACTTGCATATTGATCTTAGGGTGTTAAGGGTTAAGTGATATTGAGTTTTCTGAGCTAACCTTTTTCGGCTCTAAGTTGAAAAAGTTTATCAGTGAATGTAATAAAATGTGGTATGGTCAATTTACAAATTAGAAACAAGTTCTTATTCCTGAAGGATGCATTTTGTTTCATACTAGAGCTCCCGTGGCCATTGGAACAACATTGGTGTCCAGTAAGGACTTGTTAGAGGATGGATTGAGAGGAAAAGGGGTGAAGATTGAACACGTCTACCTTGACCTGTTATGGTTTGTACATCATTATTTATAGTAAATAAATCCTTATTAAGAGATTAACTATTTATAATTACTAATGATTATTTTGCTTTTTTGAGGACACGTGGTTGGGTTTAGCTTGCTAGATCAGTCTTTTTTTTAAGATCCAGGTTCAAGCCACAGGAAGGGTTGTTTACTGTGTTGTGATCTTTGGCAGGACCCTTGAGGGGGGGGGGGGGGGGAAGGAGGGGGTATGACCACCAGTAAACTACAGGGAAAACCCAGTGAAATATTGGGGGAGGATGGATGGGTGGCCTACAATCCGGAGAAGTATCTCATCAGGGGGAGAGGGGGTAAGCAATAATGATTGTTGTCTTACTCTGAAGATCTCAGTAGTAATTCTCCTTACTGTCAGAGATACAATTCTCATGATTTTTGTTTGGAGAGTTTGGTATCACTTGATATTGTATTGATGTAATTGTGAGGTGAAATTCTGCCTTGTTCACTCATGGGAGTTCAAGGATTAACAGTGGCAATTTAAAAGTCACCTGTTCAGACTTAACCTTTTTTTTTAATACTGGGCATGCAAAATATTTGTTTACTACTGGTGTGGTTTTTATTTACCAAATATTGTTTTCATTACCAGGGCACATGGCAGTAAAACTCAGTTACCACAGCTGGAGGAAATAAATGCTGAGGCTGAAATTGCTGATGTTAATGATCATATGCAAGAATTGTCACTCAATGAAACTGAGGACATCAATCAAAAGGAAGTTGAAGGTACATGTAGTAGTTAGCTTGCTGTATGGGCATCTTATCAGGGCGAGCTAATGTTATTTAAAGCTTGTGATCTTTTATTCGAACAGCCATGTTTGATTTAGAGTCAGAGTGGATGCTCCCCCACCCCCGTCCCTCTCCTTATTTTTTACTGTCAACCTCCCCCTTGGTAAAAATTTCTTTCTTTCCCCAGCCTTCTGCTGCCATTAAAATCAAAGCTGGGGGGCATAATTTTTATGAAGAAAAAACTGAGCACTTGCTTGCCAAAATTATGCCTATTCTACAGGCTAGGTAGCAGTTAATATTCCTTGCAAATGGAACCTAAATTACTTGTCTTTTCATTGAGCAAATTGTCAGAATTAACAGTGGAGGTATTAGTTTGAACATTCTCATCACCCATTTGCTGGATAATGTAATGATATTGTAGGGAGAAGTTTTTTGTTGATCACTTGTGGGAGTTAAAGGGTTAATCAATCATTAAGATTTTGAATTTACAGAGACTGAAAGCTCAGACGACTTTGCTCAGAAAGATGATGAGAAAGAGGATGAAGTTTCAGTTGAGGAAAGCAATGGAACAGACCCAGTAGCAACAAGTGCTACAAATGCAGACAGTAATGAAGTTGAACAAGAATTCTTAGAGTCTGAAAATGAAACAAATTCACAAGACAAACTTTTAGGTGAGCTTTTTTCATGTCCCATTCATTTGTTATGAGTCATGGAATTTTGAGGTTTTCCAGATTCATTGAGCTTATTGCAAAATAGGAATAAAGGGTGTAAGTTTCTAAAGAAACTGTGGTGCTGCATTGGTGGGGGGTGTTAAAAGATAGGGCCACCATAAAGAGTTTCAAAGCTGAAAGTACTAAAAACTGAAAAAACTAAATTACACTGTTATACTCTCCCACCAACATAGCACCACAGTTTCTTTAAAAGCTTACCCCCGGTATTACCAGTGGTGGATCTTGGGGAGGGGCCCAGGTGAGCCTGGGCCCCCTTATTTTGGGTAAAAAAAAAGATTTGCAGAAGGAAGAAAAGCCGACAGGGCAAGCGACAAAAAACCGCCCCCACCCACTTAGCTCAAGGTCTGGATCCGCCACTGATTACAACATAGAAGTTATAACATAATGATATGAAAATAACTTTGAAAAAGCAAAAAAAGTCGGTAATCATATTTGAAAGC